ACCTCACTTCCATCTTCCATAACACCACGATAAACACGTCCAAATCCTCCTTCACCAAGAATCCTCCTCGAACTGAACTTGTCTGTTGCCTTCTCAAGCTCAATAACTGAAAATGTTTTAACTGACAGAGCACAAGTGGCCATGGTGGACATGAGTGATAGTGATGTAGAGCTTGCAATACTGCTTGACAGGATAGAACCAATGCCTGCATTAAAATGATTGAAAAAATATATATATATATATCATATATTCCAACTTCCGTGGTATCAGATAATAGATCGTACAGACATCACTGATATAAAACTAGATTCAGCCCTCCCATTATATATATAAGAAAGTTCGGTAAAACCTGAGTTTTTGTGAGCTGTCCCTGACCAAGATCATATATAGAATGCAAGCATGCACAATAAAGGATGGAAGAAACAAAAATGTTCAAGCAACATGGAGAAAACTTTTATGTCTGCATATGCAGATTAGAGCAACAAAAATAATGGCAAATGCAGATATTTAAACTCCGGAGCCACTGCTAAGCTTAAAAAAGAGCAATAAACCATCACAATTCAATTGCAACAGTAATTAAAATATCTAAAAAGACATTTCAGCTTAGGATTGCGTCTACAAAGCATAGTGGAAAACCAGAGACCAGCATTGCACTATAATCCAATTTCACGTAACAGACTCTAAATATCAAATCTAAAGCTCGCTTGTAAACCTACCAGATCTTTTGTTTATCGAGGAAGGAAATGCCGGACCAACAGCATTGTATGGTCTTCCAACCTTCCTCCACTTTATGAGGATAGAGATTGCTCCAACTAAAACCAATAAGAGCACAAATGCAGATAAAACAATAATGACAATGATCCTGATGTTCATCTTTTGGGTCTTGTTAACAAAATTAGCTGTAATTGGGAGATCTCCAGCACTTCCAGTTGGACCGCCCCCCACAAAATTCCCATATGGCGGTGAAGCAGGAATTCCTGATTAAATAAAATTTGAAGTCACAACCATGATATCAGAACATAGTGTACGAGATTAAGTCATTTAATAACAAAACAAAGATAACTACCTGGATAGCTTATAGATACCACCTCATATGTTCCAAAAAGAGTTGAATTTAGAGACACTTTTTTATGCAAAAGTCGGTCATATGTAAGTATTGCAGTCGTATTATCAAACTTCTCTCCGAGTGGAACCAAGTTAATCTCCACCAAGGTTCTCCCCTGATTCTGAGTATCAGCGGTGGCACCCATGATTTTTACTTGACTTTGTTGCAAATATATGCCTTCAGCAACCTCAATCTCTAGCTCATTCATTACAGGGAAAACAGCGTAAGGAGCTACAGTTAGCAGAAGTGTGACTTTCATAGGGAACACGCAACCACAAGGTGAACCAAAGGGGGTTGCAGTAAGTGGGTCCACGCATATTTGATCACAACCTGACAGTTTTTTAAATCAAAACAAGAAAGAATAATCTGAGAAAGAGCCATCTATAGTAGTTTAAACAAACAACCAAGTAATACCATGGATTTAGTATAGACATGCTAATGATTATTCAAATATGCTCCAGCATGCGAATAAACACATTCAAGCCCGCCATTAGCACCAAGATGAGTGTGTGTGTCTTTGTGTGGTGTTTTTGGGCCAAATAAAATGTCAACCCAACATAGTCCCTCTCACTAGACATTGTTTAAGGTCCAGAGGACGTTACCTTGCTCTGAAGGTGATGGAGCAGCAACTCGAGGTTTAACATGACGATGACGATGATGACCGCCACGATGATGTCGGGGTACCACATAGCTACTGGGGCTAGCAACAGGAGCTGTAATGCAAGAGACATCAGCCATCACGGCATTAATGAAGCGGAAAGGTGTTTAAAGTAGATTGAGATAAGTACCTTGATGGATAGGAGAAGGCGCAGGTGCAGTGGCTGGTCCAAAAGGAGTAACATGTTCCTGGGGTGATCTTCGTCGAGAAAATAACACACGCATTGAAATCAACCTAGCTGCCAAGGGTGAAGCAACCTTATTAGTAATCCATGTTCAAGAGCGATAATGTACAGAACTTAAAGGAAAACAGAATGCAATGCCTTAAATGTCATCAGAAAAACTATCAAGTTACTAACAACTTGACCTTGTACTTTTTTATTCTCTGTTACATCACCAATTTTGCAAAATGGGTACATATCAGAACAAGCAAAAGGAAAATAATAAAACCATTTAAGAATTTTGACTTAAGAAGGAAAAGGAAAAAAAAAGATATACTTCCACTTTAGCTTGAAGGCCAGTTACACTGAGAGGAAAGAAACAGATAGCTACCTAATGTCTAAAACCTACTTCAAAGAATAGACAGAAAAGCATCCCCCTCAATATAATGTGTGTGTATATATACACACAAATATATAGATCCTTATAAGAACATTTTTTCAGGTAACAGCGGATGAAAGAATAGATACAGCTTCATAACAGAAGTCACCGTCATTTGAAAGATGAGACAATTTTCGAGCTGGGACATTCCAGTTCATCAACTAGAAGTAAATGCAAGATGCCTCTTCACATGCTTTCCATCATTAATTATACTTTCCAAGTAATGTATATGAAGACACATAGCTCGGAGCAAGTTCAGAGCATTAAGACATACAAGGTAAGGCTCTTCAGAAGTTTGAAGTAATGATAGTTTAGGCCACATTTTTCTTAAACGAAAAAGGAATGGAAGAATAAGAAGGAAAACACAATACTCTAAAATTATTCTCCAAGAGATAGTCAGTTAACATGATATCTTCATAGATACTACTTCAACCCCTGTGTGTAATTGGATACAAATAAGTTCTTTCAAGTCAAAAGAGGAATTTCATTCAACTGCATTAGCATTAGAAAAGGAAAATAAAAACAAATCATTACCATGATCAACTAATGTTTCCATTGCAGATAACTGGTTCACCGGTTGTAAAGGAGACAAGTACAATTGCAACCCTGAACATAATAATAAGAGAAAATAGCACTGATTTTAGTTTAATTAATGAATCATAGTTGTAATCAATAAAGCGATTCACTTCTGTGCCTGTATTTGAATGCATCATATAATACCAGTACAGTGTATAACTAAAACACTTTGATAATGACGAAAAAGATTTCAACAGTTCTAAGATTAACAAATTTCAACGGTTTTCTCCAAAAATATATATACAAAATAAGTACTTTAGTAATAATGCTAATTTCTTTTTAAGGATCACCCTTGACCATAATTTAAGTCATCCGAAACATAGTATCTGCTCCCTCAACCACAAACTTTTCAGAAAATTAGCAGAAAACTAATAGGGTTTTTATCTTCCTTTTTTTTTTTTTTTGGCGAAGGCCAAAGACAAGCTAAACTGCTAAAGCCTATAGGGAAAACTTTATAGTGGAAAATTTAAGTAGACATAAGAGAGCAAATCAGCAAAACCTGAGTACTAACTAACAAGCACAAAAGCCAAAAGTATATGAAAGCATGTTGACTTTTAGCTCAAACTGGAGTTTACTCCAGCTTCTTTCCTTTTCTACTATTTTCTCAGTAAGCAGTAAGGAAAAAAAAAACACAGAAGTGTTACCTAAACAAGAACAAGAGAGAAAGCTGAGCAAGTAAACAAGAAGCAAAAGCAGCATAGTCAGAGCAGGCATTTTCTCTCGCCAAACCAGAGTCCACAACAACCATCGTCAGAAAGAAAGACTAACTGGGACGACCCAACGAGCCTCGTAGGAGAGCCACTGGAAAGTCCTAAAGTTCCGGTGGACCATTTTCCGCCGGCAAACCTCCCCGTCGCATTCTCCGGACCAAGCAATATACCTCATAACAAGCAAAGAGTTTAAGAAAGCTAGTGTTGCTCCGCCGCCAAGCGCCAAAAGCAAAAAGAAAAACCCTAGGAGAGAGAAGATTAAGACAATGCAGCTCGGCGCGGATGTAGATCCATGAAATGCGGCAAAGATCTACCGCAACAATGTAAAGAAATTTTAAAAAGAAAAAGAAAAGCTTTTTCTCTTTTTCTTTTGGTTTCTCTTTTGGGAAGAAAAGGGAGAAAGGGGATCTACTGAGGAGAGATGTTTGGAATGAAAGAGAGTAGGAATTGAGGGAGAGAGTGGGAGTGGGAGTGGGAGGGGAAGGTGGGGAGGTGCTTTATTGCTGGTGTGTAGCTACAGCAAATACTGCTTCGGGAAATTGATGGTGGCTGTCTGGTACGCGCTTTTGCTCAAGCGCGTTGGTATTACGCACCGACGAAAACGACAAACCTGGGAGCCGTTTGTTGCCGTCACCTGTAAACCGTTTTTCTGTTCTAGAAACTCCAAAGTTTTCTTTTCTTTTCTAATTTCTAATAAAGTCTTCGTGCAAGTATTTTTTATTTGGATTTTTCTTAGGAAGAGTGCATTAAGGTTTTAATCCTCGTTAGTTAAACAAGACAACGGGTGATTTATAACAGTTTATTTTCATCAATAGGTAATTTCTTTTAAATTATACAAATAAATTTAAATATTAAATTTATCCTATAATAGGTAGTTTTTATTTTATTTTGAATTTTAAAAAAACTGAGTTTGTCTCTGAGTCAACTCATGAGACAAACTCAGGCTTTGACATTATAATTAGTATAAATATTTGTTGATATCTGGATATACGTATCGATATGGTATAATATTTAAAACTTTTTTTAACATGATTTAATATATGTCATTCACGTAATCGTTTTTTTCTTCTAGTTTTCCATTCCCCCTAGGAGTCTCTAGTGGTGGTTTCTTCCAGTTCAAATACAGGTTTGTTACCTTCAATTCCCGTTGGGAATCTTGTAAGGATATTGCTGTTACGACTGATTTGAGGATTTCTTATCCTCATCTCTTAATCTTTTTTCAAATTCAAAAAACGGGGATATGGTTTTATTTAATGGTGTGGGCGTGTTTCTTTCTCTACTATCTATTTGGTTTCTCTCTTGTTTCTATTGCTTTGTTTTTTTCAGCTATTGTGTTTCCTGTACGAGTTTTCATGGTTGGGGAGGCTTTAACCAATATGTGCTCACAGCTTTCACTCCAAGAGGGTGAAAAAGAGAAAGTTGTAATTGATAACAGTTGGGTGGATGGTGAGGATGGTAATGTTGTTCGACATTACTTGCTGGGTAAGTTGATGCTAAAGAAACCAGTTAATGTTGAGGGGTTAAGAAATGTGATGTATCAGGCTTGGCGGTTGGAGGGTGACTTGATTGTCCAAGAGGTTGGGGTCCGGCTGTTTCTATTCCAGTTTGAAGATCCTTTGGAGAAAGATCGGGTCTTGGTGTCTCAGCCGTGGTCGTTTAAGAAAGTGTTGTTGGTTCTGAAGGAATATGATGGTGTTTTGCCTCCAGAGAGTGTTCAGTTTAATAAATGCCCATTTTGGGTTAGAGTTTTTGATCTACCTTTAAGGTTGCAGAATGAAAGAGTGGGAGTTGCAGTTGGGGAGGCAGCAGGTGAGGTGTTGGATATTGATCCTAACTGGGGTCGTTTCATGAGAGTCAGAGTACAAGTGGATCTATTGATTCCTTTGAAGGCGGGTACAACAGTCTCTACAGCTTCGGGTGATCTGGAAGTGGAGTTTCGCTATGAGAAGATGGCTGATTTTTGCTATGTTTGTGGGCTTCTTGATCATCAAGAGGGGGAATGTCCACAAGGTGTTGCCCAGATAATGGATAATGGATAATGGCTCCTGTATTCGCCGTTTTTCAGATCGGCTGAAAGCAGAAACGCCGGTGGTCAGGAGCACGAAACAATCTCCGGATGGGATGAGGTCCAAAACGATTTTTGGAGGGTCAAAGCGTGAAGGAAAACGTCCTGTGGTGGCTAATGCTTTGTCAACTGGAGCTGTTTCAAAGCAGAAGAGCCTTGGAAGTTCGATGCTGGCGTCGGGATGGCGGGGAGGATTTAGGAATCATGTTGATAGTTTATTATTGCGAGGACGTGAGGCGGCGCGTGCAATTGCCGAGGAGGAGAGGTCGCGTGATATGTTCCCTAAGTTTAACTGTAACAATGGTGAGAAATTCCAGGGGGAGCAGGAGGTTACTTCGAGCAAATTTCGCACTTTAAATAACAACTTTCTGCATGATGCCAAGGAAAGAGGGGAGAGGCGGGGTGAGGAAGATATTGATGCACGTGTTTTTGCTCTTAAACAGCAATTGCTGTTGGAAGGTATGGCTGAGTCTCCGAATTTCCAGGGAGATCGTGGAAGTGGCTTTAAGGAGAAGGGCTCTTCATCTTTTATGGGGCCGAAGAATATTCCAGGAATTGGGAGGAGTCATATGGGCCTGGCTGGGAGTTCAAACGCTAATATTGGGCTACCGAGTTTAATAAGGCCAGGTAATGTTGTTGGAGCTAGTCAATTGAATGTCTTGGATCATAAGGCCTAAGATATTGACATTCAGCATTTAAAAAAGAAAGCTCGGGCAGTTCTGGAGCAGGAAGATAATTCTGGCTCATCTTTGCCGACTGAAGTGCGACAATTACTGGCAGAATTGGTAAAGACTGGTCCATTCGTCTTTGGTGCTGGTAATACTTCCGATCAGATAAAGCCTAGACGTTGGAAAAAGATTGCGAGAGCCACAGATAAGTATTCGTTTGAATGTCTTGCTCCACAAACGAATTTATTACAAGGGAGGAAAAGAGGTCCATATCAAGGAAGCTTTGTGTCTGTGGAAGACGGGGCTGCAAAACGATCTAGAGAAGAGGAGGACCAGATTGGAACTGTTGCTGGATTGGTTGCTGGTGCGTCAGAGACTAAGCCGACTAGGGTGGAATCGGAAGCTGGTGATTTTATCCCTTTAGAATCTAATTTTGATAATGATGCTGGTCTTTTTTGTAAGAATTGTGGAACGGCAGGGGTGACGGTGGATCACCTCTGCCAAGGACAATGAGTATTTTTGTTTGGAACTGTCGAGGGCTTGGGGCCTCTCGATCAGTTCATATTCTCCGTAGTTTTATAATTTGTAATAAGCCCCAAATTTTATTTTTGTCTGAGACTAAGAGAAGTAGTAATGGGATGGAATGGCTCCGTTCTTTGTTGGGGTATGATTTTTGTTTTTCGGTTAGCAGTATTGGTAGGGCGGGTGGTTTAGCTCTTTTGTGGATGAATTCTTATTCTGTTTATGTTCTTTCTTATTCCTCTTCGCATATTGATGTTTCCGTTGAGAATCAAAATACTCAAAAATGGCGCTTTACGGGAATTTATGGCCAATTTGAGACTGGGAGGAGACACGAAACTTGGTCATTATTGAGAAATTTGGCTGGCCGATCATCGTTACCATGGCTATGCGCGGGAGATTTTAATGAGATTTTGTCAAACGATGAGAAGCTAGGTGGTGTTGTCCGATCTAATAGACAAATGGAACAATTTAGAGAAGCAATTGAAGATTGCGAACTAAAGGAAATTCCAGTTCAAGGTCCAAAAATGACTTGGAATAGGAAGATGCGAGGTGAAACCGTTTTTGAGAAATTGGACAGAGGACTTGCGACAGAAGAATGGATTAATATTTTCAATTTCTCATTTGTACAGGTTATACCTTCTTCTGCTTCTGATCATTTTCCTTTAATAGTTCATTGCCTTGATAGACCTTTTGTTTCTCCTAGAATGGATTTTAAACGTTTTAAATTTGAAAGCATGTGGTTACTTCATGATGATATTAGTAGTATAGTGGAGGAAGGCTGGAATAGCAGTCCTGATAATGATGTAAAGTAGTCTATATCGAAGTGTGCTGAAAAATTGAGGAGGTGGGATCGTGAGATTTTTGGACATGTTCGCCACGGTATTAATAGGAAGAAGAAGGAGCTAGAGAGGTTGTATGCAAAAGCACAAATGGATGGAAGGTCAGGGGCTTTACATGATTGTATAGATGGATTAAATGAATTATATCAGAGAGAGGAAGTTATGTGGAGGCAGCGAGCGAAAATTACTTGGTTGCGAGATGGAGATAGGAATTCGAAATTTTTCCATGTAATGGCTTCCAAGCGTAATAGGAGGAATGGTATATCTGCCTTACAAGATGATGCGGGCAATTGGCAGATGAATGCGGAGGAAATTGAGAATATAATTGGGCGACATTTTAAGAGCATTTATGAATCATCGAAGCCTTACATTTATGACATTCAGCAGGTTCTGAGTTTGGTGGATCGAAGAGTTACACAACAGATGAATGATATCTAGATAGAGATTTTACTCGACAGGATATTAAGGATGCAGTTTTTCAGATGAGTCCTGAGAAATCTCCAAGTCCGGATGGTATGACTCCTTTATTTTTCCAAAAATTTTGGAGTATAGTGGAGGATCGAGTTTGTTCTATGGTGTTGGCTTTTCTTAATCATGATGCAGAGTTACCGGATCTTAATGATACATATGTTGTTTTGATACCGAAAGTGGAGCATCCAATTTCTGCCAAAGATTACAGACCGATTAGTTTATGCAATGTTATATTTAAAATTATTTCAAAAGCATTAGCTAATCGATTGAAGCGAATTTTACCGGAAGTTATAGGACCTAATCAAAGTGCTTTTGTACCTGGGCGTATGATTTATGACAGTGCTATGGTGGCTTGAAACTGTTCATCATCTGAAGAATAAGCGAAGCGGAGGGAAACGACATATGGCACTCAAGCTTGATTTAAGCAAAGCGTATGATAGGGTGGAGTGGGCTTTTTTGGAAGGTGTTATGCGGAGTTTGGGTTTTTCTGCTAGATGGATATCTCGAATTATGACGTGTGTTCGTGCAGTCTCTTATTCGGTATTGGTTAATGGAGTTCCTACAGATAAGTTTGCTCCATCCCGAGGTATTCGTCAAGAAGATCCGTTATCCCCTTATCTGTTCTTATTTTGCATGGAAGGTTTGTCTTGTTTATTGCAACATGCTGAAAGATCTAGGGAAATTCAGGGAGTGTCAGTGGCTCGCTATGCTCCTAGAGTATCGCATCTTTTCTTTGCAGATGATAGCTTACTATTTCTTCATGCTAAGGAAGTGGAGTGTGATGCTATACTTAGGATTTTGAAGATTTTCGAGTATGTTTCAGGTCAGCAGATTAACGTTGATAAATCTGCTATCTTGTTTAGCAATAATACTCCGGATTGTATACGAGTTTCAATTATGGCAAAATTGGGAGTCCAACAAGTGTTGGATAAAAACAAGTATCTGGGTCTTCCGATTATGATTGGAAGGTCCAAACGAGCGGAGCTTCAAATGATTAGAGATCGTATTTGGAAGCGGGTACAACAATGGCGGGGGAAAATCCTATCTGGAGCAGGGAAAGCAGTAATGATTCAAGCGGTGGCCCAATCTATTCCAACCTATTTAATGAGTTGCTTTCGTTTCCCAAAGACTTTCTTAAATGATCTGAATATGATCATTGCTAATTTTTGGTGGGGCAGCAGTGACAATAAGCGTAGGATTCATTGGAAAGCTTGGGATTCTTTATGCGTGTCGAAGTTGGATGGAGGCCTTGGCTTTCGTGACTTTGAGGCTTTTAATTTGGCGTTGTTAGCCAAACAGGGTTGGCGTTTGATACAAGATGAGCGGTCTTTGTGCTATCGTATACTGAAGGCTAAGTATTTTAGGCAATGCTCCTTTATGGAAGCTAAATTAGGATGTAACCCATCTTTTGTGTGGAGAAGTTTGCTAGCGGGGAGAGAAGTTTTAAAGCAAGGGTGTCGGTGGAGGGTAGGTAATGGATGTGATATTGATAATTGGAGGGATAAGTGGATTAACAAACCTCCGGTCAATCAACCTCTACCAAATAATGGTATAATTTGTAACCCAAATCCTGTCAAAGTCCTTTTTGATGATGACGGAAATTGGGATTATGACTTGCTAAGGGAATTGTTTGTGGAGGATGATGTCAGGAGGATTATGAGTATTCCACTACATTTGACAGGTAGTCGAGATAAGTTTATTTGGTCAAGAACATTAGATGGTCATTATACAGTAAGAAGTGGGTACTTTGTTGCGAGATCTATTATTGGAAAAGAAGAGTGTGATTCGAGATTGAGAAATCCAGTTTGGAAGTTCATATAGGGTGCTCTAGTTTTCCCAAAAGTCCAAATATTTTTATGGAGATTGGTCTCAAATATTTTGCCTTTGAAATCTTTATTGCGGACCAGGGGTGTGCCTATTAATGATGTTTGTGACGTATGTGAAGCTACTGAGTCTTTGTTGCATGTTTTTTTCTTGTGTCCTTTTGCCAAAAATGTTTGGGATATGGCGTGTCCTTGGCTGTTGACATATTTGGATAATTGGGGAGAATCAAATAATTTTTGGTTTCAACTATTTTCTAAGGCAAGTGAGCTGGGTTATTTGGAGTTGGTGTGCTTCTTGTTATGGAAAATTTGGTTAAATGGAAACAAAGTTCTCCATGAGAAGGTTTGTCAAACGCTAAGTGCTTTATGTCTCGCTGCTGCTCACTGTGTCCAGGAAATGGAGAATGTATGGATTAGGAACGAACTGACTATGGATGGTCGGGAGGTGCAATTGTGGAGGCCGCCTGTGGCAGGACAGATTAAAATTAATGTGGATGCATCATTTGTAGTCAGTAGGTATGAAGCAGGTTTAGGAGTAGTTTGTCGAGATGCTGAAGGAAGGGTGTTATTATGTGCCAAATCGAGGATTAATTTTGTGCCAGACTCGATGTATGCCGAGATGTATGCAATCCGGTTTGGTGTCTTGTTAGCTCGATATTATGGATACTTGAATTGCTGTGTGGAGAGTGATTGTCTGCTTGCTATTAGGGAAATTAATATGGCTAATCCTAGTTTGTGGGGGGGGGGGGGGTACTATTGTTGATCAGATCAAGGACTTAGTAAGACATTTTAGTGTAATTGAGTTTTGTTATGTTAGTAGAAATTGTAACAACTTTGCTCATAATTTAGCCCATCTTAATTGTGAGATTGGGACTAATTATGTTTGGTGTGGAATTCCCCCACACGTTTGTAATCCAGATGAGTTTTAATCAATGAATTGATTCAGAATTTTGATGCTCAAAAAAAATTATTTAAAATTTTTTCATCACGGAATATTTATCAATATATCCATATCTTTTAATATTTCAAACATCTATAAATATTTGTGTTAAATTAAATAATTTTTTTTGTGTTCACATTTATGATCGAAAATATCAGCGACATTTTGATGAATAATCTAGTGTTATGCAGCTTAGAAAGAAGTTATGAGATTATCCAATAACATTCTACGTGGCATAATATATTGAAGGGTGTAAAATATAGGTCTTGTAGGCCATCCTCATAAAATTTTCACTCTTTCATAAAGAGAAAATGTTCTATCGGGATTGCCTATAAAATCTTAATTTTACACCCTTTAATAATTAAAAGCCACATCATAATTTTTGAGTTATTGTAATGGAAATATAAGATTATAACACTTCATCTATTTCATGAAATTCCCATGTTTTTACCTAAAAAGAGAAAAAAAGTCTCAATACATTTTAATATCAACGCTTTATCTACAAAAATTAGTTTGTTTTGCACAATTGAACAAATTTATTCAAAGGAGCTACTCTTTTCTCATTCTGCCACCATTTAAAATTTTTGCATGGAACACGCAATAAAGGGCACGGGTAAGGGAGAGCAATGGTCGATTCGGTTGGTTCGATCGGTTTCGATTCCAACTTTCGCTCACCGTTAAATAACTGACTACTTCATTATGTCAACCGAAGGCCGATTAACTATAAAAAAGAACCACCCACAACCGCCTGCCGTCGGTGTAGTCAGTTATAGCGGTTGTGTCAGCTAGTAAGGACATTGTTTAGGATTTTTTTTTGGCTATCAATGTACCAGAATAAACAAAAACATTAAGTAATTGAAACAACATTTTGAATAAACTTTACTTAATCATATATACATATTATAATATAATTGTTTAAAGGCTTTAAAGATTAAACTATTACATGTAATCTCAATTCAATTGAGTAAAAGAACAAAAGATAAAACTAAACCCATCTAATCTCTAAAGTCTAAACTAAATCTGTCATATCTCCCATATGAACAAAAGAATTGTAGCTGCCATATATCCATGATTCCCTATGAACAAAAAGCATAACTAAACTGTCAGTTAGTGCACCCAACAAACCTACAACCACATACAAGAAGTAGCTCTATTAAACAAAAATAAGAGCTTTAGCAGGCATCAATATCATCAGTAACCTAAGCACCATATACTATATGCAGTCATTCACTAAACAATAAAAAAAAAGAATTCAAGCCATTAACAGCAGCAACTAGGAGTGAGAATCGGTCGGTTCGGTCGGTTTTTGGTGCCAGAATTCCGAAACCTCCAACAATCGACTAACATATAATTAGCACCGAACACCGACTGTTAGGCATATAAAACTGCCTTCCACCGATTGCTATCGGTGCAGTCGGTTTAGGCTGTTTTGTCTGTTTCCAATTTTAATTTATATTGAGATAATATAAAGGGAGAAATTGTAAATGAAAATCTGAAATTTACAAAATACAATACTGAGCACTTAAAAGTTTAAATTAAGTTGTTTAAGACTTAAAAAATTTAAGCCTTTTATATATATTTAACTAAAACTAAGTACTTCAAAGTTCACATATGAGCTCACTGCTCATATATGAACAATAACAAAAGAATTGTTTGTACTTTACTACTTTGTACCCCTAGTAGCTGCCAATTTCTATACAAAAGATATATGCATGAACAATTTCTGTGCAAGTGTAACTCTAACACTACATATGAACAAAAGAATATGAACTAAGCTTGAACAAAAGCAACCTGCAAAAATCATATATAAAAGAGCTCCATTGACCTAAAACTAAAGCTTTAGTTAGCAGGCAAGAAGCAGCAACAATATATACCAATATACCATCATAATTTCTTGACTCAATATCAAAAAGGAATTGTTTAAGCTCCAAACAGATTCACCACAATGCAGCAAGATAGCAAGACAGCAAGCCAAGTTGGTAAGCTCAATTGTCAATATAGAGACATTTGTCAAATCTAACAAAAAAAAAAACAAAGTTAAAACTTGTGAAAACTGAAAATAATCTAATGAAATTGACATAAATAAATTGCAAGGGTTCTTAGTAATCATTACCTAGACAAATTTTGTCCATCTCTGTTTGGTCATTACTCTCTGCTTCCAAGTCAAATTGACATGAACCTTTCAACCAATCTTGACCATAGATTAGAGCTTGAACCATCTTAGCATTGAGGCTGCTTCGGTAGACATCAAGCACTCTTACACCAATGCTGAAAGTTGATTCAGAAGCAACTGTTGAGACTAGAACAGCAAGCACATCCCTCGCAAGGCAAGACAGTATAGGGAACCTCAGACCATTCAATCCACCATGCAAGCACATCAAACGCAGCTCACACTTGCTTCATTTCCTCTTGCATGTATATGTCCAACTCAATCTTGTTTGCTTGTAAACCAGATTCTTTACATGAAAAAGTGAAAAGTACATTAGTCTATTGAAAGCAAAATAAGAACAACAATCAATTTGAAGTAGACTACATAGAAACAAACTTACCCTTTCATGCTTCATGAACAGCTGCATTGCATCACCACAATCATCCCCATACATCAAATCTGTAGTGATGCGCCAAGGGCTTATCATAGCTTAGAAGAGCACATTGGAGCTAATGAAGATCATGTCTTGGAAATACATGGAGATGTCATGAATACAAGCTTGGAGGAGCATGGAGTTGGAGGCATCGCAAGTGACCGACCATTGCTTGGAGAAGCCGCGCAACACCGGCCACATGACCGGCCACAACCAGCCATCGCATACCGGCCATCGCATGCGCCATCGCATGAGGCATCCGGCCACAACCGGCCATCGCATGGGCCATCCGGGCACAACCAGCCATTTGACCCTTTAGCCATTCCGCAAGGTCCAATGACAAGGGCTCGGGCTAAAAGGTTCAATGAAGCTTTATTGGGCTTTGTTAGATCTCATCTTGGAGATTTAGAGTCCATTGAAGACCAATTGGAGAGCATTGAAGTCGACATCACCAAGAATATTCCCATTGATTCCAAGGTGTTCAACTTACTTGAAATCGATGAGCATTAGGCTTTAACATTGTGTAATTCGGCTAATTGGGCCTTTATTCTATCTTAGTTTAGATATTTATTTAGTTTAAAAGACATTGGGTTGGGTCTTGTTTGACTAAGTTCAATCTTGTTTAATTAAGTCATGTATTTACTTTTCCTAGTATGACAAGGAGTAGGTAATTTCCTTGATCCTTCCTTTATGTAATGTTTTCCTTTTAGTTTTAGGAGAAGGGTTATGCGTCCCCTACTACTATATAAAGGGACCATTCCCCTCTTGTAAACAGAAGTCAAGTTATCAATAAAGTTGAGAGGTTTACACACCCATATCGATTATTTGGCTTCATTGTTCTAGTTTGAGCAAACTTAGGGTTCTTCAATCTTGTAGAGTCCTAGCAAGCAATTAGGTTGTGATTGCTTAATTGTTTGTGAATCTTGTGATCTTGAGAATTCAATTGCAGGTCTAATTGAGAGCTTAAGTCCGACGAAAGAGGAGGTATAGCCTTGTGAAGGTCATCGACATACACATCTAGAAGTTGAAGAAGATCAAGTAGACTTTGGTGGATATTCAAAGGGTAGATTTGAATCTAATACGACTAGATTCACACAAAACATCTCCCTTGTACCTGCCCAAAGAAAGAGAAACTAAAACTTGTTTGTTAACACTAATGTCTTCTCTATCATTGAAACAACCTAAGCTATAGGGTTTAGGATGATCAGAAGTAGGTAGTTGTAACTCTTTCACCAAATAATCACTAACTATGTTTTTACAACTCTCTCCATCTATAATCACACTACTAGGCTTCCCATTCGCATAAATCCTAGTATGAAACAAATTCTCCCTATGAACATCCCCTTTCACATAGGCTCTCAAAGTTCTCCTATCAACCAAACTAATACACATGGTGCCAAGTTGTTTAAGTATTTGTTTTAACAAGGCAGCTGTGTTTACTTCTTGATTTTGTGGTTTCATCGCAAGGTATAGAGGTTGATGAGGAAAAGATCAAGGCAATCAAAGATTGGCCAACTCCCACCAACGTTGGACAAGTGAGATCTTTTCATGGACTAGTCGGATTCTATAGGAGGTCTGTTAAGGACTTTAGCACCTTAGCCACCCCTATTACAAGTGTGATGAAGAAGAATGCACCATTCAAGTGGGGAAAAGAACAACAAGAAGCATTTGAGACTTTGAAGGAAAAACTAACTAATGCTCCTTTGCTTGTTTTACCTAACTTTAACAATACTTTTGAGATTGAATGTGATGCATCAGGGGTTGGAATTGGTGCTGTTTTAATGCAAGGTGGGAAGCCCGTCACATACTTTAGTGAGAAATTGAATGGGGCTGCATTGAATTATCCAACCTATGACAAAGAGTTGTATGCTCTTGTGAGGGCGTTGCAAACTTGGCAACACTACCTATGGCCTAAGGAATTTGTGATCCATACGGATCATGAGAGCTTGAAGTATTTAAGAGGCCAACAAAAGTTGAACAAAAGACATGCTAAGTGGAGCGAGTTCATTGAAAGTTTTCCGTATGTTGTGCGATACAAACAAGGTAAGGAGAATGTTGTAGCCGATGCTTTATCAAGGAGGTATGTCTTACTTTCCATGCTTGATTCTAAGTTTCTTGGATTTGAGTATATTAAGGAATTATATGCTAGTGATGTTTCTTTGGTGAAATCTTTAAAGCATGTGAAAATTCTGGATTTGGAAAGTATTATAAGCATGATGGATTTTTGTTTAAGGAATCTAGATTGTGTGTACCTTCTTGTTCTTTGCGCATCTTGCTCATGAGGGAATCGCATGAGGGGGGATTAATGGGTCACTTTGGAGTTGATAGAACATATGACATATTGCATGAACACTTCTTTTGGCCTAAGATGCGACATGATGTAGGGACGTATGTTGTTAGTTGTATTGTTTGTTTGCAAGCTAAATCTACTTCTAAACCGCATGGATTGTATAATCCTTTGCCTATTCCTCATGAACCATGGACTCATATTAGTATGGACTTTGTGTTAGGATTACCTCGTTCTAAGAGAGGTAAAGATTCTATCTTTGTGGTTGTTGATAGGTTTTCTAAGATGGCTCACTTTATTGCATGTACTAAAACGGATGATGCCATTAATGTAGCTAATTTGTTCTTTAAAGAGATTGTTAGACTATATGGAATGCCTAGGACGATTGTGAGTGATAGAGATGCTAAGTTCTTAAGTCACTTTTGGAGAACTTTATGGGCTAAGTTAGGTACTAAGTTGTTATTTTCAATTACTTGTCATCCCCAAACCGATGGCCAAACTGAAGTAGTTAATAGGACTTTGTCTACTTTACTTAGAGCATTAATTAAGGAGAACATAAGAACTTGGGAGGATTGCCTACCTCATGTCGAATTTGCATATAATAGAAGCATACATAGTACTACTGGACATTCACCTTTTGAAACTGTGTATGGCTTTAATCCTTTAACCCCATTGGATTTGTTGAGTTTACCTTTGAGTGTGCAAGTCGACATGGATGGACAAAGGAAGGCCGATTATGTTAGGGAACTTCATGCTAGGGTTCGAGCTCAAATTGAGAAGAAAACACAACACTACATGAAGGTTGCTAAAAAGGGGCGCAAGGAGATCATCTTTGAACCTGGGGATTGGGTTTGGTTGCATCTAAGGAAAGGTTCCCTGAAAAAGAGAAAGTCTAAGCTATTACCTCGTGGAGATGGTCCATTCCAAGTCTTGGAGAGGATCAACAACAACGCCTACAAGCTAGATCTTTCAAGTGAATATGGCAATGTAAGTGCTACTTTTAATGTTTCAGACTTATCCTTGTTTGATAGTGATGCAGATTTGAGGAGAAATCATTTTCAAGGGAGAGGGGATGATGCGCCAAGGGCTTATCATGTCTTAGAAGAACACATTGGAGCAAATGAAGATCATGTCTTGGAAATACATGGAGATGTCATGAATGCAAGCTTGGAGGAGCATGGAGTTGGAGGCATCGCAAGTGACCAGCCATTGCTTGGAGAAGCTGCGCAACACCGGCCACATGACCGGCCACAACCGGCCATCGCATGCGCCATCACATGAGGCATCCGGCCATCGCATGGGCCATCCGGGCACAACCGGCCATTTAACCCTTTAGCCATTCCGCAAGGTCCAATGACAAGGGCTCGGGCTAAAAGGTTCAAGGAAGCTTTATTGGGCTTTGTTAGATCTCATCTTGGAGGTTTAGACTCCATTGAAGACCAATTGGAGAGCATTGAAGTCGACATCACCAAGAATATTCCCATCAAGTCCAAGGTGTTCACCTTACTTGAAATCGATGAGCATTAGGCTTTAGCATTGTGTAATTCGGCTAATTGGGCCTTTATTCTATCTTAGTTTAGGTATTTATTTAGTTTAGAAGACATTGGGTTGGGTCTTGTTTGACAAAGTCCAATCCTTGTTTAATTAAGTCATGTATTTACTTTTCCTAGTAGGACAAGGAGTAGGTAATTTCCTTGATCATTCCTTTATGTAATGTTTTCCTTTTAGTTTTAGGAGAAGGGTTATGCGTCCCCTACTACTATATAAAGGGACCATTCCCCTCTTGTAAACAGAAGTCAAGTTATCAATAAAGTTGAGAGGTTTACACACCCATATCGATTATTTGGCTTCATTGTTCTAGTTTGAGCAAACTTAGAGTTCTTCAATCTTGTAGAGTCCTAGCAAGCAACTAGGTTGTGATTGCTTAATTGTTTGTGAATCTTGTGATCTTGAGAGTTCAATTGCAGGTCTAATTGAGAGCTTAAGTCTGACGAAAGAGGAGGTATAGCCTTGTGAAGGTCATCGACATACACATCTAGAAGTTGAAGAAGATCAAGTCGACTTTGGTGGATATTCAAAGGGTAGATTTGAATCTAATACGTCTAGATTCGTATCATGTAGAACCTTGGGCTTGGGAAGTCTGTGTAGCTTCACACCCTTTTTCAGATCTTAGGGCTCTGCTATAGTCTTCAAATATATCCCTCATAGTTTCATGTATACAATCCAATAGTTCAGAAGCCTTGTCAAACCTATACATTTTCTGAATGAAGAACTGCACAAAGGTCAGCTTCTTTCTCGAGTCCAGAATTGCAGCAACATAAACTAACATATTGTTCTTGTCTACTTGGCCTCAATACTTGTTAAACTTCTCCTTCATCCTGTTTGCCATGGCCCTCATCTAAGTGCTTGTGTGGTTTTGCAATTGACTCAATACAGTACAAACAGTGAAAATTTCATCAAGCAAGTTAGATGATGTAACTTTTGTAGATGCAGAAACTTTAAAAGTCAAATTATAAAAAATTTTCAACAAAACACAATGATCATTGGCATTTTCCCAATCAGATTTGGTAGGCAACCCAAGTAAACTAAGGTCATGCTTAAAATGTGGATCAACATCAGGAAATTGATCAAATGCTTTCTCAAACTTTGCTGCATTCTCAAGCATCTTGTATGTGCTATTCTACCTAGTGGGAACATCTAGGCACAAACTTGCCTTATATACCTTCAGCCTTGGCACATTCTGATACGAATCTAGTTGTATTAGATTCAAATCCAACCTTTGAATATCCACCAAAGTCGACTTGAACTTCTTCAACTTCTAGACTTGTATGTCGATGACCTTCACAAAGCTATCCTTCCTCTTTCGTCGGCCTTAAGCACTCAATTAGACCTGAAGTTGAATTCTCAAGATCACAAGATTCACAAACAACTAAGTTATCTTAACCTAATTCCTTGCTAGGACTCTACAAGATGAAGAACCCTAAGTTTGCTCAAACTAGAACAATGAAGCCAAAGAAATCGATATGGGTATAAACCTCTCAACTTTATTGATTAACTTGACTTCATTGTTCTAGTTTGAGCAAACTTAGGGTTCTTCATCTTGTAGAGTCCTAGCAAGCAATTAGGTTGAGATAACTTAGTTGTTTGTGAATCTTGTGATCTTGAGAATTCAATTGCAGGTCTAATTGAGTGCTTAAGGCCAACGAAAGAGGAAGGATAGCTTTGTGAAGGTCATCGACATACAAGTCTAGAAGTTGAAGAAGTTCAAGTCGACTTTGGTGGATATTCAAAGGTTGGATTTGAATCTAATACAACTAGATTCGTATCAATTGGTAATCAGAGCATAGGTTGTCATCTTCAATCGGTAAATCTATCCTTCTATACATCAATCATCACGTTTTCATCCATCACAACACGCCCAAACACTCATCGCACCACCTTCTTGAAAAATTCAAAAATTCAGAAACTTCAAAAATTCATAGCCGATTCATCTTGCATCGTTTTACTTTGAAATTTCAGATTTGAGTCCCTCATAACTAGTAGTTATATCGAAAAATATAAAAAAAAAATAAAATAAAAAAAAAATTTCGACCAGAAACTTGTGATTTTTGTTCTGGATTCGTTTGAGCTCGGAAAACTGTGAAATTTGAGCTTTAGACTTATTTTGGTGTGATCTTTCTGGGAAAAATATTAAAAAAATCAAAAAAATCTGTGCTGTTATCGATTTTTTTCCAGGAACTAGGGTTCTTAGTTTGGGAAATTTGGGGATTGGGTTTTCTTGTGCAATTGATCTAATTAGTTGCAATAACTCTAATCGATTGTGAATTGGGATCCTTGGATTGCTTTTGCTGTTAATTGTGATTTGATTTGAAGAATTTCAGGTTACAAACCCTATTGGATTCAAGTGGTACAAAATAGGAGACAAGTGGTACTAGGGTTTATGCTAATCGATTGAAATTGTGATTGTGCTTGAATTGAGTTTTTGTGCAGCAACTTTGGAGAAGAATTTCGACATAAGGAGCCTGCATTAAGTGGTTTGGTTTGGTTTAAGATCACTTTTCTTTTGATTCACAAATAACTTTGCTACTAATTGTTTGTTCCTCAAGTAGGTCACGAGAAGAAAGGAGTGCTCTAGGAGTTGCTCTTATTAGGCCTATTGAAGCTAGTAAAAGGCAAATCTTGTGAGATCATTAAGAGAGTAGTGGACTGCCAATCCATAGGATTTGAGTACAAACACGAGAGCACAAGTCAAAGGTATAAGCACACACACACTTGTGAGGATTTTTTACCACTAATTTTTTGTTCTTTTTTGTAGGTACCATGGAAAATCAACAAGCAAACACTAATGCCACGCTACAACAAATACTTAAACAAATTGGCACCATGTGTATTAGTTTTGGGTGATAGGAGAACTTTTGAGAGCCTATGTGAAAGGGGATGTTCATAGGGAGAATTTGTTTCACACTAGGATGTATGCGAATGGGAAGCCTAGTAGTGTGATTATAGATGGGAAGAGTTGTAAAAACATAGTTAGTGATTATTTGGTGAAAGAGTTACAACTACCTACTTCCAAACATCCTAAACCCTATAGTTTAGCTTGTTTCAATGAAAGAGAAGAATTTAGTGTTGACAAACAAGTTTTAGTTTCTCTTTCTTTGGGCAGGTACAAGGGAGATGTTTTATGTGATGTCTTACCCATGCAAGCATGTCATGTACTACTTGGTCAACCATGGCAATATGACAACAATGTCCAACATGATGGTGAGACGAACCGATATACTCTCATGTGTGGTAAGAAGCCTTTTACTTTAATTCCTTTATCACTTCAAGATGCCTTAAAAGATTAAATTAAAGTGAGAGATGATTTTGCTAAATTGGATGCTGAATTTAGGACCAAAGAAAAGAGTAAATTTGAACCTAAAATTGATGATTGTTTTGATGATAAAACAACCTTAGTTGAAAAGAGTGTTTTAGATGTTGTTTGCGATGATACTAAACCTAATTTGAGTGTTGTTTGCAATGACACTAAATCTGTTTTAGATGTTGTTTGCGATGATACTAAACCTAATTTGAGTGTTGTTTGCAATAAAACTAAATCTGTTTTGGATGCTAATTGTGATGAAAACAATTCTGTTTTGGTTGAACATAGCATTAAAAACAATTCTGTTTTGGTTGATTATAGCATTGCAAATAATCTTGTTTTGGTTGATAGCATTGAAAATAAATCTGTTTTGGGTGACGAGAAAGAGATTTCTAAGGAAGTTGTTAAAGAGTGTATGTTAGCTACTAAAAGTGAGATTAAGAGTGCTTTGCATGATAATTCTGACTTGATCTTACCTTTGTTTCAAAATACACTAATGGGTACTAACAACTTGGCTGGAGATATTCCAAGCAATATTGTGTCTATTTTGAGTAATTTTGTAGGAATTGGAGTTGTTTTGATGCAAGGAGAGAAGCCCATAGCTTACTTTTGTGGGAAAATTGCTAGTGGATTTCCACCAATTAAAGAGATTGAACTCCATCCATATAGTGTGCAATACGAGTTCATTGAGAGCTTTCCATATGTGGTGCAATACAAGCAAGATTTGAGGACAAATCTTCTTCAAGGGGGAGGGAATGATGCGCCCAAGGCTTATCATGGAAGGAATTATGCGCCAAGGACTTATTATAGACTTGAAGACAAGCATGGAGAGCATGGAAAGGATGATCAAGGGCTGCAAGGAAGCATGGACAAGCTTAAAGGAGAGGATGGAATCATAATTCACCAAGAAGATGTCATTAAGATGCCATTTGATCCTTTGCAGATGCCATTAGGTCCGATGACAAGAGCAAGAGCTAAAAGATTCAAGGATGCACTCATGGGCCTTGTTCGAACTCATCTTGAAGACTTGAAGACCATTGAAGTTCAATTGAAGAGCTTTGGTGATGATTTGGGCAAGAAATTACAAATCAATTACAAGTTCATCACATTGCTTGCTATTGATTCTAGATGGCCGGATTGACATCATGGCATGAGCCCATTATCATTAGTTATCTTTGTTTGGGCTTAATTCTATCTTAAATTAGTTTATTTTTATATTTAGATGTTATTTGGGTTGGGCCTTTGTTGACTAAGTCCAATCCTTAGCTATTTTTCTATTGGTTGTATTTTTGGATAGTTTCTAGAAGGTTCTTTTGTGTAGCCTTTATGGTTGGACGAAAATTAGGGTTTTAGAGTAGTTTATGCGTTGGTCTTATGCCTATATAAGGCCACCAATATCTCTTGTAAACAGAAGTTGAGT